TAAGGAGGGAGCAATCTAGATCCCTCGCATGTGCAGTTTACTGCAGGGTTCTTGTTCCTATGAGAAGCTAATGCCACCACTGATAGGCAGGAGGCGGAGCTCAGGCAGTGATGCGAGCAACGGGCAGTGCTATAAATACAGACACACAGATGAAGCTTGCTCGCTCACCCACTGCTCACCTTGTGCTGTGTGGCCCAGTTCCTAGCAGGCCTCAGACTGGTACCAGTCCATGGACCGAGGGTTTGGGACAGCAGATGTAGAAATACAAGGCCTTTTGTTGTCCTTGTTTATATCAGGGAGATGTGTTTTCTCTGCAGTGCTCTCCTCGTGATGTGAGCATCTGGTCTATGTAAGGTTAGTCCCTGTGGTCATTAATTGCACGGGCTTATTTCATTCCCACGACCCCTCCAAAACACAGATTTGGCACTTCTTCTTTCCTGGCCAATCAACAGACTTATTTATATGAGACAAATATGTTGGCCAGAGTGCTTGCATTTTAAGGGGAGGGCAGGGGATTACAACGTTGTGATGGATTTTCGCCCAATGTCTATGCATTTCACACAAAGTATATCAGCACATTACAAATCTCATCCCTACAACGGAATACTCACTCACACAAGGTATTCCGATTCCAGGCTCTATCAAATGTGTTGTTGCTGTCGTTCAGTGCCTGGACTATGACCTCATATAGCCCCAAAGCCTGTTTTATACCCAAAATGTCCAACATTGCTCAGAAGTTCTCCAACCATGTAATAACTTTCCTCTTATAAATTCCGTTGTTTTCCCCACCTACTGGGTGTCGGTTCTTGCACACACATGCATATGTCTGAAGACGCACACACACATACGCACACAGGGCCTGGGCTGGTTGACTTGCATTACTGGTGTTGTCTACTGGGGACGGGCCCAGAGTTCAGACAGTCAGCAAACACAATGACAGCATTTGGTGGGGAGTGTCCAGGCACTGAGAACTCCTGGGAACTATATGATGAAAGGAGTTATACCCTCTCCCCGTGTAGACATGTACTCTAGACTCAGAGTCCAAAGCAGCCTCTTCCCACTCTCCTCCTGCCCCTCATCCCTTCTCAATGTTCTCTGCTTCGTCCTAAGGACAGAGCGACCATGGACAGAGAGCCTTCAGTCCGGATGACCTTGCATGGGTGGCCAGACTCTGCAGCTCCCTTGGCTCAAATTTCATTTCAAACTCTTCATGCAGAAGGGGCTTGAGCAGCACAGGGTGTGGGGACTGCACATGGAGGTGCTTTGCAGCTGCTCCCAGCTGCTACGAAAGCTGATTTCTCCTCACAGGGCCGGAAAGGGCCTCTGCTCAGTCTGCCTCGCTGGTGGGCTTGAAAAACAAGACCATGATCATTAGAGGCCAGAAAATTTGAAATTTTGATGATGTCAGGGGAGCACTAACTCCTAAACTCTGAGATGAGTCATCTTTGATCTACAGAGTGAAATGATTCTAGTAATATTCTTCTTTGTTGAAATTTTCCAGACTTGTTAAAGAAAAAGAATTAAAATATAGAAATAGACATGCTAATAAGTATTTCCTACCTGGTGCCAAAATGAGAGACTAAAATGTTACAGAAACCAAACACTTACATACATACATCCCATGTATGTGTATATGTATGTATATCTGTAAATACTTTATAAATAGGTTTCTGTTGTCTTAGGAGAAAAAAAAAGACAAAACTTTTAGTTCATGCAAATATAAATGAGCAGAGAGGAGGGCCCTCTTATTAAATTCTGAGCTCGCCTGCTCTTGAACTACAGTAGAGACATTTGGGGTTGACTTCAGGTAAAGATCTCAACATTTTTAAGCTAGTGAAACCATTTTCAACTTTGTTTTATGAGCCCACCACACATACAATGGAAATGGACACGACTCATTGCAAAGGATTGCTTTCCCAGGAGACGCAAGCCACAGACATTTGCTGTACTGGTATCGTGTCTGCTAAATTAAGTAATGAGGAATGTTTTTTAAACCCCATCAGGGTGGAGTTTCATATGCAGAAAACTCCACTGAAGTGTCCTAAATTATCATTAAGAACCCTCTCTTGGCATATAAAAATTTGCTTTTCATTTATTTTAGAGAAAGCCTATCAGGACATTTTAAGTCAACACGAATAATTTCCTTTTTAGAGATTTTGAATAACAGATTGATTTTCTTTGCCTTTACTACAAATTTGTTCCCAGGAAGTGCTTATTACTTTACCCTTGAGACGCATTTCATAAAGTATTTTTTTCTTCCCAGTGAGAGAAGACTGTGGAAACATCTCAGTAACAGGCGTTTCTAACTCACAAACTCACTCTCCAAGAGTCCTTACTCAAACTTCTGAATAGCAACAGATTTCTCGCTTTGCAGCAACAGTAGGGGGCAGTACCACAGTTAATTACTAGGGCTAACTGAAATTTCACTGGCAAAAACCTAGGCTAGACATCTCAGGATTCTCCCACATAAATGTGCGTCTAAAAATATTACACAGATTTTTCTCCTCCATAATTCTCTTCAGGGTGCAAATACTGTAATTTTATTTGTTTGTGCACATGTGTGCACATTTGTGTGGTAGTAAGTATATGGCAGAAATCCTATATTGTAAAGTTTGGGCTGACTCAGGAAGGTCTAACCAAATCCTCTGTTCTAAAATATTAGCTACATGTAAGTAGCTAAAATGTACTTACTAGTTAACTGGCATCCTGTGTGGGGCATTTTGTTTTTTCATAGTTAGGTCTTCAATCTTTTTCACAAACATCAAACTCTAAGTTTAGAGCCAAGATGAAAGAGAACTTATGGGGAAATTTCATTAAATAATCACATAATCCAGGCTCCATAGGTTGGATTTTTTAAAAATAAGTTTTCTATGTAATTGAGTTAAACTTAAATTTATGCATCCAATAAAAACCATGGCAAACGGTAAAACAAAGACATTGCTCCAACACTTAGAAAATTAAATTCACCAAACCATGAAGTCAACTGTGCAGTTATTTTTGTAACCACCATAAATTGCTTTATAGAACTCTTCTGCTGGAGTAAACAATCCCAGGATAGATTTACTTTGCAGCATGCACCCAGTTCCAAAGGAGAGTGGCCTAAAACTTTATGGCTCCTTTTTCTTTTCTTTTCTTTTTTAATACTCATGTTTCTAGTCACCTTGAAACCTTCCTTCTCTTACGGGAGCTCAGAAAGGTCCACAGAAAATAAAATCCAAGTCTGTAGACATACTTGTGCCCTCAAATACTCATTTCTGGAATAAGAAGAAACAATCCTACTTTGTGGAAATAAAGTTTGTATGGCAAAAGGAAAATAAAGGGTTTTCGTACTAAATATTTCACCGTATTTAATAGCACCTCAGAGCCCAACACAGTCTCAGATGTTTCAGACAGTCAGTTTGAAATGTGTTCGCTTATAGCACGGTGTGAGGCTGAATTCAATGCAAACTGCTATAGATAAGAGTTTTAGGGGTCTTTAATCACTCCTTTCTTATGTCCTTGATGGAAAAAACAGAGCTGCCTTTGTGCTAAAAAGAAGGACCTGTTGTTTCCAGATTCAACAGGTCATTTTTATAAGAACTTCCCAGAGGATACAACATAAATGACAGAAACACAAGGGGATATTTTAAGTGGCTGATGATTTTAAATGATATATAATCTATATTAAGGGAAGGTTGTTTGTTTTTCTTTCCAACAAGTGGAAAGTTACTGTTTTAAAAGTGTTTAATGTTTGAATGCAATTTTTAGGACCAAACCTTTTCTCATGAGTTGATTTACAGTAAATTTGGCTCCTGAAATCAATCTAAGGGTGAGTTCACCCATCAAGTAAATAAATGTGTCAAGTCATGTCCATTTCTATTTGGGGGATAAATGGCTAATTTAGTGGGCATTTGAAATATATCTAAATTGTGCTGTAACTTTTGTAACATTGTTTCAGTTAAAATAATGGGGAGAATGCATTTCTTATGAACAAGATAAACTTTATAAAATGGAAAATTCTAGCAACATGGTTTTTCCTTGTACTTGGAGGAAAGAAGAAAAGCCAATATTTTATGGCAAACAAAAGAGGCGACACTAGGGCTTATTAATTTATCTGATACTATTATTAAAGGTGGTCTGAATTTGAGGAGACTGGCAAATTTAAGATTAAGATCTAAACAAAACTTGTTTCATAAACTGGATTCACAAGATTTTTCACAATGTATTTATTTTTTTTTCCTTTTTCTCCTTTTTTTTTTTTTAAATTGGCTACCGTATTTGTAAAGAGAATTGTTTAAAGATCTTTAGAAAAGTTTTGGCCAGTCCAGAGACAAAAGTTACTTTTCCCTGCAAATATTAAAAGCACTTTACAAAACTCATATCTAGCCCTAAACAAAATTTATTACCAAGGAAGCTTTCTTTAAAACACGGTGGCTGGTTGCTGGCCCTTGCTGGGACATATATTCCCAAACTGCGTAGACTCTCTGGATCTTGACACTTTTACTAAGTCTCTATATTACTTCCCACCTAGGACAACTATCTGGCAAAGGATCAAGGTAACAGCAAAGACTGTGTTAGCCACAAGGGACTGCCCTAAAGATAAAGAAGAAATAAACACAGGTTTCCTTGGGAAGCCTACTACTAATTGACGAACAGGTTTCTAATTTAGGAGGAACTTTTCTTTCTTCTTTAGCTAAATACATGATTATTTTCACAGAGCAGGAGAAAGAGATGAGACTGGCTGTTTAGTGGAAAGAGAATCCCAAGGACTAAAATAAAATCATTAAGGCCAAAATTTCCCTCCAACTCCCTCCTCAACACGCCCTTCCTGGGAAGGAGAAGGCATAGCGGAGAAAGAGCCCATTGAACTGAGGACAGCAATGGGTGACCCTTTGCCTTCTGCACGCAGTGGAGGGAGGCGGACTGGGGGTCACCAAGGGGCCCCCAGGTCTCCCCCTCCCCCGCCCCAGCACCCCGCGCTCTGACGCGCTCCGACTGCCCGCGCCGCCGAGCCTGCTCACCGGTACCAGGCGAGGCCCTTGTCGTAGCTGCGGTCGAAGAAGTGGGGCTCGGCGCCCACCGCTCGCACGTCGGGGTGCACGCGCAGGAACTCCAGCAGCGCCCGCGTGCCGCCCTTCTTCACGCCGATGATGATGGCCTGCGGCAGCTGCTTGCTGCCTTCGTCCAGGAGCAGCGCCAGGGTCCCCGGCGGGGCCTCGGCCACGCTGCTTCCGGCCCCGGAGCCACCGGGAACCCCGGCCAGGCCAGGGGTCTCCTCTTCCCAGGCCGCTTCGTCGCCGTCGCCGCGCGGAGCGGGCGGCCCGCGCCTCCGCCACTGCCGCAGTTGCAGGAGGCGCTTCCTCGGTGCCGGCGCGGGCCACACCGCCGGCTCCCGCGGGCCTCCGGCCAGGGCGCCGCGACCCGCGGCCCCCGCCTCCTCGCCGCGGCCGGACAGCCCCACGACGGGGCCCGACAGGGTCTGGCAGCGCTCGGCCAGGCAGTAGAAGACGTACAGGGAGGTGAGCAGGGAGCAGAGCATCAGCAGGAACTTCCGGAAGATGCTGCGGGACAGCGGCTCTGCCGAGGTGGGGTGGGCGCCGGCCGGGCCCGGAGGGGCCATCCTAGCCGGAGGCGACGTCGGGCAGAACGCGGGCCATGCTAGGCTGGGACTCCTCCGCCAGGTGCCATAATCCCCCCCGGGCGGGCCTGCGCTCTGGCCGGAGGCCACATCGCCCGTGCGCCCCTGCGGCCGTGCGAGCTGCCCCAGAGACGCGGCCGGGCGCCTGGGGGCACGGAGCCCCGGGAGCCTGCTCACGGTCTCTACCTCCGGTCGAGGAGGCGGGAAGGGGGACGCGGTGGCGTGCTTAAGAAACCATCGTCTTAGACGCGCCCAAGTCCTGAGGCTTGGGCATTGCTCGGCGCCCCGGTTCCGCGAGTGTCGCCGGAATAGGGGTCTTGGAGGCGGCGGCGAAGGCGAGCGTCTTGGCCCCGGCTCCGGGCGGACTGCAGGCGCGGATCTCCGCTTAGCGATCGCGCCTCTCGCTCTGTCCGGGTCAGGGGACGCGCGGCTGCGGAGCCGCTGAGCCCCGTGCGCTCCAACAGTGGCGAGCGACAGTCCCCTCCAGCCCCAGCTTCCTCTGGGCCCCGTGCCCTCCTGGGCACTCCGCCTTGGCCCGGGCTCAAGTCCTTTTGGCCCCGGAGCGAGGATCCCCCCAGTCCCTCTGCCCAAGCGGGAAGCAGAAGGCCGGCGCCGAGCTGTCCGCCCTCTCCGCGCGCCGGCGGCTCCAAACGGCTCTGGGACCCCACCTGTGAGCGGCGCGGCGCGGCGGGGCAGCGCGGGACCTGCCAGCCGCCGCGGCCACTGTGCTCGCAGGCGCTCCCCCGCGGCCTCCCAGGCCGCCGCCGCCGCCGCCACACGTGGGGTGCGGAGGGCAGCAAACTTGGCGGTGACGTCAACGGCCCCGGCCCGACCATTCCCCGGGCGAGCGCGGCGGGGCGCGGACCCGCGCGCAGGGGCCGGGCCTGCGGGCGGGCGGGGTGGGAAGGAGAAAGGTGGCGCGGGCTCCGCAGGGGCGGCCCAATGGCACGGGGAGGGCGGGGGCGCCAGGGGCGACGCCCCTTCCCCGCCGTTCTCCCCCTCCGGGCAGCCTCGCCGCCTCTGAGGCGAGCAGGGGCCTGCGGCGGCTCCGGGGTCGCCTGACCACAGCCAAGGGCGGCCGGATCCGGGCCTGACTTCCAGCCTACCAGCCGCGCTAGATGGGGGCCCGAACCTCTCCCACGCGGCCAGCCCTTCGCAGCCCTGGCCTCTCCAGGCTCCCCACCTCTGCTTCCCTCCCGCCACGGCCGCCGCATCCCCCCGCCCCACCCCTTCCAGGGCTTGGAACCTCCTCCTCGTCCCCAGGCTTTGCAAGTTTTGTTCGCAGCAGTCCTCACGCGGGTCCGCGCAGCTCGCGGCCCTGCCCCTGACCGCGCCGCAAGCCCTCGAGCAAGGCCCTTCCTTCCTTCCTTCAGCAATAGTTTTTTTCTTTTAGTTGTTTTCCCTCGGATTTGTTTAAGGATGATCCGGAGTCCCCCAGGGCCTAGAGAGGAACCATCTCCTAGAAGAGCCAATAAATAAATCAAAGGCAGAAATTAAGATCTTAAAAAAATCAACTCCCATTCCAAGTCCCTATGTCCAGTTTTTGATGAAGTGTCTTTTTTCCTAATGTACTGTGTGTGCGCGCGCGCGCTCGCAAAGGGGTTACATGTCCTTTCACGAAGGGGGACTTCCTCCTCCTCTTGCCTCCCGTGACCCTGCACCCTCGGGGAGCGGTCAGGAAGGGCACAAACGGCCTTGCGCTCAATGGAGGGAGGGGCCGTGGAACCTGCTTGAGGTGGTTTTTTGTTCCAGTCCTATTTGTTCCTTATTTCTTGGCTTCCTGGCCTGGCAGGGGGAACTCCGCATACTGTGGGCGGTCGCCTGGCTGCTTCACACCAACCCCAGCAATTGTGGAGGCGGCTTTCTGGGCCCACTGTGGGCGCTAACAAGATCCCACGTGGCCAGGACGTCCACGTTGCAGGAAACTCACCGCGACTTCCCGCTGCCCGGCCGAGGGACTTCCGCGTGCACCCGCCTGACCTTCCTGCGCTCCGACGCGGAAGTGGAAGTCAGTGCAGTTCTTTCTCAGCCTCCAAAGGGACCTCTTGGTTCTAACTCTGTACTGCATGGAACTGCCGAATTTGTGCCCTGCTGGGTAAGTACTCACTGCTGCATTTGGTTTTATGTTTATGAACTACCAGTCCCAACTGATTCTACAACCAGAAGCCTTTTAGCTTCTGATGCCATAAAGCACTGGACTTTTATAAGGACAAACAGCAAGTCCTGCCAAGCTTTAAAGTTCCTTTGTGTCCTAAAATTGGATATTGACAAACCAGTTGAGGTTTAATACTCACTTAAGCTTTAATGTCTTTTAAAACTTTTCTCTAAGTATTCGGTCTGATTTGCAGAAGAACAAAACAAAGACCATTTTAAAGTTGTTCTGAAAGCCTGCAATCCCACAAATACTTACAAATGTGCCTCGGTTTCCTCAACTTGAAAATGATGGGCTCTAAGTGCCCTTCTAGTTCCAACGTGACACAATAGCGTTTGTTCATTCACATTCTGAACACAGGTATTTCCTTTGATGTGGGTATTAAATACTCATGCTTTGTAGGAGACATGGTGCTCACAATCACTCACATGATATCTAGGGCAGCTCTGCACATTACAAGGAAAATGTGAGCCACAATTACAAGCCACATAGGTAATTTTAAATTTCTAGCAAGTTTCAGTACCTTGAAAAAAGGTAGAAAGAAACAGGTAAAAATATTTTTTCATAATATATTCCATACATCTAAAATGTGATTTTAACATGTAGTCAATACAAAAAATGGTTGAGGTCATTTATGTTTTCTTTTCATGTGACTTCTTTTGGAGCTGCATGTCCAGTGTTCAGTACCCGCATGTGGCTCAGTGGTTAGCACAGTATGCAGCACACTAGGGTGTTTTGGTGAGGAGGATATATCTGTCAGTCTCAACAGGAATTGGTGCATTCAAATTAGGATAATTCATGGAGGATTTATTTACAAAAGATCTGTTTATAAAGAAGTAGGATAGACAAAAGCCAAATATAGCACAACAACCCTGAGCTAGTAGCAATGGAGCTGTTGCCAACTTATGTCTGAAGAAATGAGGGAGAGAGAGGTTATTAAAACCTAGGAGGAAAAAGTCGTAGAAAAGAGGCCCTTAAGAAAAACAGCTTTAGTGGTGGGACACAGCCTGCCCCAGCCAACCTCTTAGGGAAGGAGTCAAGGACAGAAATGTTATATGTGGCTTTATGTCTAATCATGGCAAAAATCCAGAAGAGTGATCAAAGTCTCATGATAACATTAGATTCAGTCATACTACACAACCTCTTAGAAAATGTTTTCCCTCATCCATTCAGATGCATTAATTAGAACGGAAACAAGTTAGAGCTAATGATTATTATGGCAATTTGAAGGAAAACAGTACTTACCAGAAAGCACAATAGGTTTTGTTGCAGTTTCTTCTTGTTATTCCCTTTCTGTTTGTCATTCCATGTGTATTAGTCAGGGCCCTCCAGAGAGAGAGAACCAATAAGATAGATAGATGGAGAAATGGATGGCAGGAGATTGATGAGGGGAAGTGGCTCACACAACTGTGGAGCCTGCGAAGTCTCAGGGCAGGCCGTGTAGAAGCTGGAAACTCTGGGCTGCTGGTGGGGTGGCTCAGAACGCAGGGGCACTGATGTAAGTCCTTAGAATCCAAAATCCAGAGAGCCTGGAGTTTTTATGTCCAAGGACAGAAGAAGAGTAACGTATCCCAGCTCCAGGAGATAGCAAAGACACATGAACCTTTCCTCTGTTTCTGTTGTACCCAGGCCCCCAGCGGACTGCATGGTCGTGGTCACATGGAGGGTGGATATTCCTTAACTTAATGCACTCAAACCCACCCACTAATCTCTCCTGGAAACACCCTCACAAATACACCCCAGCATAATGCTTTCTCTAGGTACTCCTTAATCCAGTCAAGCTGACACCTAAAATTAACCATCAGACCATGTTAAAGCATATATCCACTCCTTAGGAACAATAAGGCTCTGCCTTGGAAACGCTCAAGGTTTTTTTCTTGCTATCCTAGACACTGGTCTTGAGCTCAGTGGTGAAATGGCCAAGGTCTAAGCTCAGTGACTTTCAGATTCCCTCTCCACACCCTCTCCCTCCCTAGTGTGGTGTGCACTCTTGAGATGCCGCCCTGCGTCCTCTGGGCATCCGTCCGACTGTCCACCGCCCAGTCCTGGGCCTTAGAAGCCTGTCACTGTACTATACATAGGATGGCTTATCTTCTCTCATATCCTACCACGCAGGTTTTATATTTTAAAGTAAGGAATATTTTTAAAGATGATTTCATCCCACCTGCCCATGTATTAATGAATCATGCTCATTTCCAAAACCCCTTAACAGGTAATTATGTATAAAGAATAAAACAAATCACACCCAAAATTTCATTGCCCAGAGATAACCAAGATTAATATACTGGTTAGTTTCCTTTAAGTTTATACGATATTAATATATATAGTTACATTATATATATGGAGAGAGAGGGTGTGTGTGTGGGTATAGCTATATAAGAGAGTGATAGATGAATAGATAGCTGTAGCGATAGATTCTTTAACCACTTGGGTACGAGCCTTGACTGTACCCAACAGCCACAGATGAACGCGCAGCAACTTTAGCCGACAGCCGTGGTATGACTTTTCTAATTTTTCATTTATCAAAATAAAATCGTGAACATTTAAAAATAACGTAATGAAAACACATATGTCTATGTTACCTATTCTGATTTACATTACAAGTAAAGCTGCCTGTAAAGTGAAACAAGCTCCCAGTGCTTTCAAGCTTTCCTCATCACACAGGAGCAAGACGGATCGTCGTCAGTGCACAGCGCAGACCACCGTGCGAGTGCGAGTGCCGCCGTGGGCGAGGTTTCACAGCCGGTGAGCGCCGCACCAAAGTCGTCTTAAAAAGAAGACTGAATCTCGTGGGCAAAGGACATGAACAGAAATTTTTTGAAAAAAGATAAACTAATGGCCAACAAACATATGAAGAAATGCTCACCATCTCTAGTCATCAGGGAAATGCAAATCAAAACCACAATGAGATATCACTTATCTCCAGTGAGAATGCCTTTATCAAAAAGTCCCAAAACAATAAATGTTGGCTTGGATGCAGAGAGATAGGAACACTGCTGGTGGGACTGCAAACTTGTACAACCTCTGTGGAAAGCAATATGGAGATACCTCAAAGAGCTACAAGTTGAACTGCCATTTGATCCAGCAATACCATTACTGGGCACCTACCCCAAGGAACAAAAGACATTTTATAAAAAAGACATCTGCACTAGAATGTTTATAGCAGCACAATTCACAATTGCAAAGCTGTGGAAACAACCCAAGTGTCCATCAATACATGAGTGGATTAATAAAATGTGGTATATGTATACCATGGAGTTCTACTGAGCCACAAAAAAACAATGGTGATCTAGTGCCTCTTGTATTATCCTGGATAGATCTGGAACCCATTCTACTAAGTGAAATATCCCAAGAATGGAAAAGCAAGCACCACATGTACTCACAAGCAAATTGGTATTAACTGACCAACACTTAAGTGCACATATAGTAATAACATTCATCAGGTATCAGGCAGGTGGGAGGGGAAGGAGGGGATGGGTATATTCACACCTAGTGGGTGCA